GATAAGTTTGTTTTCCTCGTAACCACATGTATTTCTCGTGGTCCACGCGAGTTTTAGCAGCTACCTCTGTTTGTATTCAGTTCCTAAATGCATGCAGATTGATGGTACATCAAAGAGATGTGATAAAAGTGGCTGGATGAGATAACACGTGCACGTGATTATCCGCTGAAAATGGGTTTGTACGCGGAATGGCCGCTTCTCGAATTCACTCCGCTGAGCAGCACTGCACAGACATCTTCATTATCGCTCTTCTCAAAGTAAGCTTCGTTTTTTTTTTTATAATTTTTGGCGTTTTTATGTGTTTTTTTTAATGTTTCTGCACAGTTTATTTTTCTCCATTTCCTCCTACTTTCGCCTCTTTAAGCACTGCGACCGTCATATTGACGAGATGCAGTTGCAGTGTTGAGTTAAGACATATATGACTTAATGGACCGAAACGTCTTATCTCACTGTTACCTTCTGTCCTACACTATTACTCTCCTCCTGAATTCTTTCGCGCCTTCGCCATCTGCACTTCCAATCTGCTTACATTGTTTCTAGTGATTCTCGTCCTTCATAGTGCATTTCTCTGAAAACGTTAGAAATTTAAGATTAAAAGTCCAGAACTGTGTAGAAGTGAAATTAAAAAATGTTAATTTGGAAAGATTCCATTCTGATCAAATTTTGAAATAAACAGCATGTTAATGTTTTGTAAAATTTCCATGTTTCCAGAGGAACAGGTGATAATGTAGCCGAGCTGTTGGTGCGCGAAATTGCCGAGAATTTGAAAGGCGCAGGGACGGTGGCTGGCTTCAAAATTGATACCGAGGAGCAGTTATCATGGATTTTACAGGTTATTTATGCCTGGATTACTTGAGCTGTTATCCTAACATCAAGGATGAACCGTGTTGATGTTGTGTGTACTTTTGCTAGTTTAAATTATCAAGTATTCCTGCATAGCGGATAGGTAACAAGTACGAAATGGATTGGAGAAAATAGAGGAAAAAGGCGTCGAAACGATCAATATGAAGAAAATTCCAATACTACAGATTTCTACCGGCACATTTGTGGATGTGGATGTATAACGGTGATTGGAACTAATACGTGTGAAGAAGGAAACAAGGCTAATGTAATAGTGGGATTTGTATGTGTATGTGTGTGTGTGTGGGTGTGTGTGGGTGTGTGTGTGGGTGTGTGTGTGTTTGTGTGTGTATGTGTGTGTATGTGGTTATGAATGTGTGGAGATTGTCGGAACTAATACATGCGAAGAAGCAGAGACACAAATTTACCAAAATCGTGCGTGTATGTATGTATGTCTCGATTTGGCTAGATTGAAATTATAACCCAAATGGACAGCAAATATTCTGGCGAAATTTTTTTTTAATTGTTTTCCGGCTAGTTTTCCAGTTAGCACAGTGCCAGTCGTGAAATGACCTGCGTGACGCAACCGTGGGCAGTTACTAGAACTCGGCTGGGTTCGGCTAAGTCGGCGTCATGCACGAGTAGCGAAAAATTTTTCTTGATGATGGCGGGTAAAGTTGCCCCACGGTAAGTGGCGTAAATATTCGATGCGGCAGATGGATAGGAGAAGGGGATGCTGTGGGTTTCGTCTTCAACGGTTCGAGACGAGAAGGGGGAAGGGCTGAGACAGGTGAATTTAATGGCTGCGTGGCGTAGTTCCTTTGTTGGTTGGTTGGATCATGTATATTTGGACAGCGGGGG